TACCAATGGCCTGAGACAGCTGCTGATATGGATAACTATATTCAAGAACTTGAGCTTTCTATGGATTCAACATGAACCTTCTTTGAAGTGATACAAGTATATAATATAGTACTATAATTTAGTACTTCTGTAGTTTATAAAAGATAACTAAAAAATAAGAGAGATGCTGCCTCTGAAGAGTTTCTGATGTGAAACCTGACAAATGGAAATCCTGGAGATGGACAGCAGACGGGTGGAATTGGTCACTGCTTTTTTAACGTGCTGAAGGAAGAAATTACTTGGTGATCTGAGCTAAGAAATACGGGAAATATACCCTATGAACTTTGCTCACCTGCACTCTTTGACCCAAAGAGGGTTTTGATGACACTTCGGTATGAGAATAGACTTTTTATTCTATCTCATTAGAGTAATAGAGATCAGGAAATAAGATATTCACTGTAAACCTTGTGACAGTTTACATAGGTCTCCCGGGGGTTCCTTGCAACACACTCCAGTACTGTTTCCCTGTGAAACCTCATGAGCAGAAAAGTGGGTAGTGATGTCTACCACCTCAGTGCAGCCTGCAGGCCCGACAGCCTGGGACAGGCCTGCAGTCTCCTCTCTATTGCTGTGGTAATGCTGTGAATTCAGCTCCAAATTCAGCTTTCTGTGTAATTATTTCAGAAAAATCTGCCTACAGTTTATCCATGCGTTAGTAGTATGAAGAAACAATCTCTTTGGATACAGCAGAAATGTGAAATGGCAATGCTGGTTACAAGCAGTCTTGTGGCTGAACTTCTCCATTACCTGTTCACTCTGCTAGAAACCTGTTCCTCACTCCCTTCAGTCAACAACCATTTCATTGCATTTTTATTTATTTTTGTTAGAACTGCCCCAACTTGCTGTCAGATGGCTTTTTTACAAGAGTTTCTCCTCTGTAGAAAAGATAATTTGATGCCCATACCAAAACTGCTAGAAAAATTGAATTTATTGATATCAGCATAGTAGCTGCCCCAGTTCCTTAACAGGTAGTTTACCTTTCTTGATGGGCAGCTTTTCCCTAACTGTACGAGCATAGTTGTTTTATGAATACACAAGTTGTACATATACTAGTATTCATGTATGTGTATGTGCTGGTTGTATTATTAATGTTATGAGGTACTAGTTGTTTTATGAATAATTCTGCTTTCCAAATTAACATGCTTCTCCTAACGAGTAGTTGGTTTCTTTTTCCTCATTGCTCTTCTGAGCCCTTTTTGATCTTTACTACTCTGAAGCAGGAGCAGCAACTCTTCTCCCAAGTAGGATCTTATTTCTTTATTGCTAGCATGCCTGCTTTGGCGTGATAGTCAGAGGCACCTTTCCTACCTGGAACCCATTTTCCTAGAAGCTTGTTTCATGCTTTTATCTGATAACACAAACGTCTCGCTTTAACAATAGTTGTTTGCCTTGCACCAGTAGAATTGTAGAACAAACACGAGTTGTAGTTACCTAAGTGTATCTTACGTATTGAAAGTTACATTAAAAATAGAGTCCTATAACACCAAATGCTGTAACAGTTTCTATAAGCAAGATGATTAAATTCAGCAAGACAATTTTTCTTAGCACGTCTGATTTGTTTTCCAGATGGATTTTCAGTTAACTAATTGTGCTTCAGTGGTTTATCAATGGTTAAACTCTATGCTTTCTCTATAAAGATTTCCCAGGGCATTATCTACCTAAACACTATTTTTTCCCTTTGGTTGAAGTTTCATTTTTAATATATGTGTCCTATAGAATCTTTGAATCATTAAGGTTAAAAAAGACCACTAAGATCAACCATCAACCCACCCCCACCATGCCCGCTAACCATGTCCCTCAGTGCCACATTCTACCTTTGAAACAGCCGCACACAGAACCTCCTCACTTGAACCCTTTCGAACTCAGAGGAGCCAGACAATCTCAAACCCAGCTATAGTGTTATCAAGCCAATAAATCAAATATATCTTGGCTCTAGCAGTTAGCTAGCAATTTGGCTGCGTGTGCTGCATTGCTGTTTGAAACTCTGACAGCATCTGAACAAGCTCAGTTTAATCCAAGCTAATTTTCACACAGCTAATGACCTGTTGCCTGTGTTGCCTGTTTTAATAACCCTTTTTTTTTTTTTTTTTTTTTTTTTTTTTTTTTTAGTACTCTTAAAACAATATGCAGGGATTAAAATAAAATAAAATCCTTGTGATTTGTTTAGGAGAGAAGCTGTTTGAGCACTACAAAAAGGCTGATGTCTTGAGAACTAGTGGAAAGAGGATTTCCTGGAAACCGATGATGGCACAGTGTTGTTATTCATGATTCTACCAAAACCATTCCAAAAGAACAGTGTGTTTAAAATACATTAGCTGGATGATGTGTGATGCTTCCTTCCTCTCCTTTTTCTCCAGTTCATATTTTATATCTTTTAGCTCTCCAGAAGGAACACCAAAGAGCAAAACTGCAAAAAGAATGCGATCCTTTCATTTACAAGATGGTGCTTTGCTTGCCACGGAGCTGCAGCACTCAGAATGAGTCTTTATGCAAGTGTATGAGGTACAATGCCATTAAAAGAATGCCACCACAAATGAGACATTTCATTTAGACACTGTTCTAAATTTAATACTGAAAATAGCAAGATACAACTTGGGAAGAAGCTTCTAAGGTAGGTTTCTCTGTTCTTAGAGGCATCAGTGGTGTGAAAACTTGGCAGAAGGTGAAGTTGAACAACTGCAGCACTTGCGATAATCTCCAGTTTTATTTCAAAACCAGAAAGTACCTAGAAAATACAACAGACTGTTCAGTCTGCAGTTTTTTTGTGCTGCATCATTTCCACTGCAATTGGCAAATAACGAAAAAACAAGCAGGCTGCTCACGTCCGGACAGAAACAAGTTTCTGTGGCACTGTACATCAGAGAACTTTTAGAACAAAGCTTATGGCACAGCGCTCATTTGAAAAGCTTCTAGCAATTTAGAAGTGGTTATCTGAACAGTGTTTCTTGCTTTATGCAACAGCAAGCACTGCTATCAGTGACAGGCAACTTTGTATTAATAGAAACATGTGAAGCTTACTCATCATGCCCTTACCAATACAACTGCCAGCAACATAAGGGCAGTTACATATTTCTTGTTGGTAGAAAGACAGCCACTAATACTAATAAACACAGTTATGACACATAACCTCTCCCGGGCAAACTGGCAAGACAAAATGGCTGCAATCTCAAACTGTATTTTATTTATATATCATTTTGTATTTTAGCTGATCTGAATGAACTTTGACAGATAGATTTAGAAGCCTTATATAAAGATCTGCAGGGGGAAAAAAATGTAGTTACTCAAAGACAGAAAAATGAGTCATTATTGATTTTCATTGAGCATTTGTCCCACCAAGCAGTACTAAAATAACATAAATGAAAATGATGGAGAACAAAAATCCCTGATGTTTCACAAAATTATATTTAATAGAATCATATTTCTTGATATGTAACTTAGTGTAGATGTCCAATAGATTTTTAAAAGCTTGCTCATCCAGATCTCAGTCAGAAGAACGCATTTGCCTGTAGACACGTGTTAAATGTCTTAACAGAGGAGGGACTTTATGTTTACTATATTCCATCTCACTCTCTCTTTGCAGTATTTAGCACACAGCCCTATAGCTGGGTAATCTTTCATAAACAGTGTCCTGTACTATAAACTTCAGTTCCAAAGCCTATGTTATTACCTGGAGAGGCACTGTTTCTGCCATCCTGAATACTGCTCTTCCATTTATTACTTTGTCCCAGAAGCATTTTTAAAAACATCCCTGGACCATTTGTTCATTTCTCCCTATTTAACTCCTGCAAATTTACATGCGACTTCTGCACGTACTTTTAAGTCCACAGAAAATATGTGTGTTGTGTTCATTTCTACTTTGCCTGAAAAAAATTACGTTTTTCTTACTTAGACAATGATGTTCAGATTTCTTCTCCTGACACTCCATCAGCTGTGCGGTTTCTGCTCTGTTTCTCTGCTAGAAAGGAATGTGCAGTATATCATAACTCACAGTGTCATGTAGTAATAATCCCTGTACAACACCATCACTAACTGCCTCATTCAGCACATTTTCCCCATTTTCTGAGAGTTTAGATGAAATATGACAGGTGGTATCATTTTTTTTTTTTTTTTTTTCCAAGGTAGCGATTCATAAGCATTCAGCTGAAACCTTAGGATTTGTTCTGCCTTAGAGGGAACTAGCATGAGGTAACTGCAACTATTTCTGATTTGCAACATTGTCACAGGCTGTAAGGCATTCACATTTTCTTCAACAAGAACTTGCTCTCACGTGGTAGGAATGCCTGTGAACAAGCACTCAGAACTGCAGACTCATATCTTATCAGCACCAAACACTGCCATGTTCTGCTGGGGCTGCACACGGAGATTTAAACAGCTTGACTGTGACTTGCATAACTCCACATGAACACCAGGATCCCAAATTTTCCAAGTGACTCCTGTGTAGGGGAGGTGAGAAGCAGGCAGCCTGCTGGTACAGCCCACCCTGGAGCACACAACTCCTGTGAGCAATGTACACCCCTCCCCCCGAATGTTTTCTGAGAGGTAGAGCAGTCAATGTGGAAGCAAACTGTATTTTTCAGGGGACTGAAGCCCCTGCATGAGCTCTGCAAACAGGAGATAGGGGTTCCTTTCAGGAAAGATACAAATTATGCATCAGAACGTATCACCAACATACAGGCTGCTTTTCAGGACTGTACTCAAGCCTAAGATACATCTGTACAGTCTGGATTTTGAAAAAAAATAGCTCAAGGCATAAAGGAATATACTGGACTATGATCCATTATATCTAAATAAGTATTCACCAACTTTTTGGGGTTTTTTTTGTAGAGTCTCTTGAAAACCTCCCAGGCAAGATAAGCTCTGCATGAGACAGTGTCCAAACCCCAGCAAAAATCCAATATCTACACTGACATTAATTGTAACATTTACACATTTGGCTGACAAAAAGCATGCCTCAGAAAACATTGTAATCATTAGAAAGTAGCAAAAGTGGCATCAGAGATTTTTGATGAATAGATATGTCAGCTTAGTCACTGACTAGGCAGCAGGGCCTTCTTCAGCCCTTCTTCAGTACTTTGTCCCAGTCACAGACAGGCTCAGAGGAGTCTCATCAATGTATGCAAATAACTGAGGTGTGGGTGCAGAGAGGAAGGGGCCTGCCTCTTTTTAGTGGTGCCAGTGCCAGGTCAAGAGGCAATGGGCATAAACTGGATGCAGAAGGTTCCTTCTGAACACCAGGAAGCATTCTGGTACTGTGTGGGTGCTGGAGTGCTGGCATAGGCTGCCTATAGAGGCTGTGGATTCTTGTCCTCAGAGATGTCCAAAAGCCATCCTGACGTGGCTCAGGGCACGTGACCCTGCCCTGGGTGACCTTGCTAGAGCAGAGGTTGGGCCAGGTGTTTCCAGAGGGCCCGGCCAGCCTCAGCTGCTCTGTGATTCTTCAAGGGAAAAGCGGATAAAAAACTATATTTCTGAGGTAAACTCCCTTATGAAGTGCTTTCCAGAAGGTCCTAGTTTGCACTGTGAGAAATACACCTGCAAAATGTTTCTGGAAAAAGCCATCAGTTGTGGATCATCTACCGTCCAAAGAAGTGAAAAGAAAAGCAGGAATAGGAAACTATCGAGAAGAAGTTTCCTATTCCACTCATTCAAATACAATACACTCAAAAGATAAACAAAAGACTAATAAAGAGCCAAATTATCAGGAAATGACACTATATAATCAATAATGTCATTTCTATAACCAGATCCAGGTTTGCAAGTACACTTTCCAATTGTAAGCTTGCTGTTTTTAGCAACTTTCATCCTCCAACAAGAGATGACCACTTTGTACATCACCTAATGTTTTATTTTTGAGAAGGGACTCCATCCCAAACAGACCCAATACAGAAACATGCAGGCAGATTTTTTTTTGACACGTTGCTGGTCATAACTCCCGTGTCTTCTCTGCACTATTGGGTTACCTCTTGCTGCACGTAGCAATTCTGGGCTCTCTGTGACTTTCACAGAACTAAGCTGGAAACAAAATTAAAAGCAGAGTTAAAATTGGCCTCATTTTCCTTTCGGTATGAGTTGTGCACTTGAACCGTGACTCACCAGGGTTTGCAGTCACACCCAAGAGAACCATGCACTGAGTGGCCAATCGCCTGCGCACAGGAGGAAATCCAGATCGACGGCTGATGGGCCCGGGCAGGCTGCCTCCTCCCACTGGATCACCGCAGTGACGTACAGACTTGCGATCGCTCCACCTTCTCAGATGAGACTCCAACCTGGTAATCAGTACCAGAAACTGAACGGCTTCTGTTGTGGGGCGTTTAATTTGCAGTTCTAAACAGAAGCAGGCACTGAATCAATTATTTTTCCTCTGTTATGACAAATGGGAAAACATACAACCTCAGAAAAATAAATAAAATAAATCCTTTTTTTTTTAATTTTATTTTATATTTTTCAGAAAGATATAATAACAATAATAGCAATTAGTACATTGAACAATCAAACTCTTTTCCTGGCAGGTAATTCTATGATCAGTATAGAAGCAGTAGGTTACAACAACAACACCATGTTGTGAAGTTAAAACCTAGCCAAGTATTTGAATGTATGATGTTCTTTCCTAATTTTTGTAGGCTTTCCAGTCTTAACCAAGCCTTCCAATAAATCACTCACTTTTGCAATCCTCCTGCGTAATGAAAGCAAACTGGGTGATCATAATGAAGAACTTATTTAAGCAAAACAGTGGCTTATTTAGTTATTTTATAAAAAGGTAATGTTATTATATGGCATAATGTTATGCCATACTGCAAAGGATCATATGCTTTCAAGTCTTTTTTCCACTGTCAGATACTCCAAAAGCAAAATGTAATGTGTAATGTTATAATTCACTGTTCTGCTACAGACATATTTATGATAGCTGAAGTGTGAGTCCTTCACAAGGTTTCCATCAAATCATTTAAAAATGAATCCTTCTTCAGGCATTAGAGTCCAAAGGCACATATGCTCAGATAAATTGGAATGACAATTCATTTCCATATTTTCTTCAGAGTCTTTGAGATGTTTCTGGCTAATTCCAGAAAACCTACCCTTCTGAATCACTTAACCAGTGTTTTTGTTGTTCATCTGTCTGTCTTGGTTGCGTCTGACCTCTGTAATGATTGTAATAGAAAAAACATTCCTCTTTTCTTTCCTTTCTTCACTATGAGTCAACATCCTTCTCCTCTCAGGGGTATGACTACAGTTCTTAGGGAATCGGTCCAAAGTTTTAATGTTTCAAGTATTGTGAAGATCTTTTGAATCTGCATATGTTTGAGAGAGAAGCTGTTTTTTTCCTACCTTCCAGAGTCTCTCCCACAAATACTTTTGATTCTTTAAGAGCACTAGGTGTGCCTCCTTCCGTGGATATAGTGAATGTTTCTTAGGCTTTAATCTAGGGAAGATATTTTGCATTTTACTGGAAGAGCAACAAACCAGTACTCCAGATATCCCTGATAACTTAGCACTAACGAGCAGACTGTGTAGTAAGAGCAGCTTTGAGCAAGAGGTACAAGTGTCCCAAGCCGGACACATATGAGAGAATGATCTACCAGCTCTCAGCCCCTTAAACCAAGGAGCCATTCAAGTTGCTAATTGAGTCTATCAATAGACTATATTATGTGTGAAAGAAAACAGATGGGCTCTTCTTTCCCTAGCACCACTGAGGGCATTTTTTGAGATGAGCTCTATCACCCAGCATGAGGTCATAGGAAAAGGGAAAATCAAAAAGATGCAGTGTGTCATGTATATAGTTTGTGAAGGGGCACCTCAGTATAAGGTGTTTCACCTGGTCTCCCTACATCTTCCCAAATTCTCAGCACTTCCACAAATCTGTCTGCAGATCCGCATCTGGCTGAAAACAGCTTCTGCAGGTTTCAAACTTTGTGGTTTTCTGCTGCACTGAACTAATTCATTTAAAATCCACACAGCTGCTATGCCACAGCATTACTTGAGTATGCTCATCAAGCTCTAGACAACGTACACTGCCTTTCCCACAAACACCAAATTTTCCTCCCAAACTTCAAAAGAGCTGCTGTGTGATAATGTGTGGCCTGGGCAGTCTGACTGTAGTCATTTCATCTCACCCCCTGAACATTCCTGGTCTTTTCTCAGATACCTCAGGCCAACAATTTCCGTCAGACAAAATTAAAGCCACTAACAATTGTTCTCCAAGTTTCCAAGAAAGCAAATCTATTTTTTCATGAATAAATCAGTTGTTCTCTATCAAGCTAAGCACTTGGATGGGACTCCTTTAGCAGTTCTTATTTCCTGGGCTCCTCATTCACTTCCCTCAGACCATCCCAGCAGCCCTCTGTTGCTCCTCAGCTAGAAATTTTAAGATGTTTCCCATCTTCTTTTGCCATTGTTTACGTGTGGTTTATAACCCTTTTCACACACACAAAATTGCTCTTTTTGATGAAAACAAACAAATTAAACCCCACTTTTTTTCCCCCATGGAAAAGTTTCTATTTTGTTTGAGGTTGATATTTTTAAAAACGTTATCCAAAAAAAAAAAAAGATCAGCTTTTAACTGAGAGGGCAGTTTTCACTTTAAGAAGCTTTGATGAGAATTTGGATCAAATCAACTTTGAGATAATCACGTTTATAGTTGCATTTTTAAAGAACAGTCCACTAGAGTATGATTTACTTCCAGATGAAAAGCATTTTTCCTCTTCTTTTTTATAAACAGGGAATTTAAAAATATTTTCCTGTGAGTAACAGTACGCTTTCCCAGAATGAACAAAAGACTTTTGTAAGCAAGAAACCATGAAAAATAAGCATGTGTGTTTTTTAAGAATTAGAACAGTACCCCACACACACAGCAAAAGACAGTATGGAAAGAAATTCACTTGGCTGCCTATGTTCTAGTGAGAAAATGCAGAAAGTCTTCAAAGGCCTTTTAGAAGAATTTATTTAACGATTTTAAAAATAGTTTTAAAGTATGAGGCAGATACACATACAGCCTACACGTGTTGACACAGCCCTGGGGTTTCCTTACTTAAATACATACATGCGACTTAGCTACACGATAGCTAGATTTTCAGATAGGAAATGTAGTTTAAGATTAAAAAATAGCTTTTGTGTTTGCAAGCTGACAGGAGGGAGTGGTTTGGACTGCAGTGAGCAGAATGCAAACACCATGATGTTCTGCATGGCTTCTGCCATACTGGATAAGGATGTGTGCCCCTGCCTCCAGCCATGGCACCAGCCTCCTGCAGGTCCCCCTCAGGGACACTGGTGCTGATATTGCGGTGGGGCCAGGCCAACCCCAGATGCAAACTGTTCCCTCACCACCTGCCACCACTCATGCCTGCCGTGCACATGTGCAGCACAGCTGCTGCATGCATGCATGGAAAATATGTTGCTGGAGATGCTGGAATGCTGTTCATGCATCCATTTGTCTCAGTGCTTACGACACTGTGGTGAGTGCTTCCAGAAAAGCATAGGACCTGCTCCATGTGCAGTACAGTGCATTCAGTCCATGCATGGAGAAGTAGTGTGTCTGGGACAAGTTCACTACATCTGATTTACTACAGTGGTCAGTTTGCTCATTTGGCTCATGACTAGAAATCCTGGGTTCATTGTATATGCCTCATCACCCCATCACAGTGTAAGTATGGGGACACAGACAGATACCCTCTTTGGACACCATGCATCATGATCAGCCAGAAAGAACTGGACACGAAAGGCAGGAGATGAGTCCTTAGCATTTACATTTCTAAGTTACTTCTGCCAATGCCTTTAACACATTCTGATCCCAGCATCCAGCAGAAGTATGGATCGAGGTGCAAGATTCAAGTAACCCATAGTCCTCTGAGGGTTATCCACCAAACCTAACCCAGTTATCTCTGTTCCCAATGCAGACAGATGAGCGATCCAGGCAAAACTCCAAAAGGAGTTTCATCACCCCACTCTCAGACATCTACCATTGGAAGGGGAAAATTACCCTGTGGAGATGCCTATCTGCTTTCATGAACTGCACCGGAATGTAAATAAATTGCTTATACTAGACAGCTGGATAAAGATAGGTGGGATGAGTCTTACCTTTTGCGTTGGGATTGTGTCGCAATTAAACGAGAATTTATTAGCCAAGATTCAGTGGTATGATACTAGCTTCAGCATAGGAACTGAGGGCAACTGCAGAAAAAGTCAAACGCATATTAAAGTTAGAATCACAGAATCATAGAATGGCTTGGATTGGAAAGGACCCCAAGGATCATGAAGCTCCAACCCCCTTGCCGCATGTAGGGCTGCCAACCTCCAAATCTAATACTAGACCTGACTGCCCAGAGCCTCATGAATGTTACTGTTTTAGGCTGTGCCTGTTTGACCCAAAACCTGACTCTGTAAATTACATCACTTCCATCTATTTGGGCCATTACCCTACGAAGACAAGGCAGTGCCTAGTGAAACCTAGCCACAAAGTAGCAAGAGCTGAGACTGGTGCGCTCAGTGTGTCTGATGCAATAAATGACACAAGCAAAAAGATAGCAATAGTCATGCTTTTTCATGTCTTAAATATATCAGAAAAAGGGACATTCTTCTTCATTTTCTTTTAATTACATGCTTTATTCTTATTCCTTCTCATGCTCTCTAATCCCGTGAGCATTTGTAATTTCAATTTATACAGTGTTTAATCTTTAAAATATTCATTATTAATCTGCAGGAAGATACACTTCCTTATTTTGTCAGCTAACTTCCCAGATCTCCTTTTTGCTGGTTTTACTTCTCCTTTTTAGGAAAAAAGAAAAGGATTTTTTTTTTTCCCCCCATTTTTCCAGTTGTGTCTAATTTCAGTAAGGAAAGTATTTATTCAGTTCTTCTATGCAACTGTGAGTGAGAAACAAGCTGTTACACCATCATTTCTATTGTGTGGGAACTCAGCATTGCATCATCCTTAGCACTGAGAACAAGAGATGAAGATCCCTCCTTGCTGGGTGAGGTCCAAGGTTCGGTAGCCAATCTTCAAGCCAAAGTAAGAATTGTAAACAGTTTTTTAAAGCTGCTTGTTTTGTGTCTGAACACTTGGGGACTGGGAGTTATCAACATGTGTAAGGGAGTGAAAACTGCAAGTCATAGAAAGCATTAAGAACAACTAGAAAAACTTAGATTCAGAAAGCATCATTATTTAAAATGTAAAAACTCATAGTACTCACATCTCAAGCGTAAATATACTATTTGGATATAATGATAAAATGGCTGTTCTTAAAGATTTTACCAGTAAATTGCTTATGCTGTTTTATAATGAAAATCTGGCCATTGGCATGGATGTTCATACAGGTACATAGTTCTGTTTGCTGTAGGCCTTTCAGAGAAAGCTCTGCTTGACTAAATCTCATGTACAGACAATACAGTAGATTGTTTATTCGTGTTGCTTTTATTTGTTCTGCATGGTTATCAGTTACAAATGACAACTATTACTTGGCCCACATCAAACACTCTTAAAAAATCCAAGAACAAGTAAAAATAAAATGAAAGGTGTGTCGCTTTGGAGTTTATGTGCCTACAGCAGGCACAGCAAAAAGACAAACTGACTTCTACCTGGTGCAAATCTAGACAAAGTGTTAACATCTATCTCAAAGGCTGTCCATTGAGGAAAAGGCAGTTTTTATTTCACAGACATTTGCACCTGCGTGCAGAGTTTACAGAGTAAATATTGCAGTTCTTCAGGGGGCTGGAGCAATCGGGAACCCTTCAGTAAACAAGCTGGAACTGCTATTCCAGGTGTAGTTGCAGATCTGCTTTACGATGCTTCAGGTTGTCATTTTTATTTGGATTGTGGGGAAGATTTCTCCTAAAGAAATGGAGACAAAAAACAAACTCTAACAAAATACAATTCAAAACAGAAGCTAAACAACTTAGAGAAAGAATACAAGGAAACATGAAACCTACCTGTGAAATGCAACCACTCCCCACCTAAAAAAAAAAAAAAAAGTGCCATTGAGAACCCACTCTTAAGCTAACAACAAAAACAACAAATCAGTAAAGAGCAGGGACTTCCTGTCTGTTATCACTTTCAATCTGGTATAATGACCATTGAAGAAAGACATTGAAAAATTCCCTTCTAGTTCGTAGTGGAGATGAAACAGTTTGGTGTCCAAGTTCTCCTCAGTTCACAGGGTGGGATCTGGAAACAGCTCACACATCTTTGTGAGTTCTAGCTAGTTTACCACTGGAAATAAAGAAGAATTTAATTATCACTTTCATGGTAACTCTTCAGAAATTGAGTATAAATATATGTAGGAGTAATATCTGAAAGAACTTTGCCTCAAAGTTCTCAGGAAGGCTAAAACTAAGTATAGAGTATCCATTGAAAAAGGAGCTTGCGGAAGTCATAGGGCATGTAAACAAAGGACAGGACAAACAGTGTGTTTCATATTTTCTTTTTTTTTTCATAGAATCATAGAATATCTCAAGTTGTAGAGACCCGTAAGGATCAAAGAATCCAACTCCTGGTTTCACACAGGACCACCCAAAAATCAGATCCTATGTTTGAGACCGTTGTCCAGATGCTCTGTGATCTCTAGTAAGCTCAGTGCCATGACCACTGTCCTGGGAAGCCAGTTCCAGTTCCCAATCATTCTCTGATGAAGAATTTTTCCCTAACACTCAATCGGACCGACTTCCCCTGATGCAGCTTTGTACTATTCCCTCAGGTTATATCACTTGTCACATCAGAGAGAAGATCAGCGCCAATTAAAAATAAAAATAAAAATTCTATGATGTAAAAGTATAATTCTATGATTCTTATGTAAACAAAATTGTTACACTTTGTTAACATTTTGTAATAATGACATTCCTATTAGTCAGTATTACTGACAGTGCATCTTTCAGCCTTCCCATCATTAAAGTTTTATTTGGGACATGCAGTTTCCAGAAGGAGGTTGCCTTAATTGGGTTCCATGAGCAGACAGATGGAGTTTATCCCTCTCCCATATGGCCAACAGATTATTTTTTTTCCTTTTAATATACAATAGAGCTGAGTTCTTTCCATTTGTCCTTTGTTGGACTTTGCATTTTTTTTTTTTTCAGGATGATACTGAGGAGAACAAGCTGCCCTCAGGTCACTTTTTAGCATTGAGAGTAGCAGCTAGGTCTTTTTGAGTTGCTCTGGAGATTGAGGCCAACATTTCCAGGAAATCCTGAAAACCCTCCAGTCCTGGACAGCAGCTCCTAAGACACCTCTGAAGTTACCTTAGACTGAACTTTCACGTGTAGGTGGCACCACGCAAAAACACTCATTGAGACTGAAAAGCTGCATTCACGTTGTGATGGGGCTCCCATTCTGCCTTTCAACAGGACTGCTACCTCAACGCCAACTCCACCCTGCTCTCCCTTGCCTGTTGCTAGCTGAAAGCCATCTCCTCAAACCTTGCTCACTCACACATTCCACTCCCCCTACCATCCTGCCCAGGGCAGTGGTGCAGTCCCCATTCTTCAAAATGTTTAAGAACATGTGGAGGTGGCACTTACAAACATGGCTCGGTGATAGGATTCAGCAGATTGATGATTGGTTTGATGGATGTGTCCAGGCTTGGGACCCCCAGCACAAGAAGGATGTAGATTTGCTGGAGCGGGCACATAGGAAGGCATTAATATGATCAGAGAGCTGGAGCACCTCTCCTGTGAAGACAGGCTGAGGGAGCTGGGCTTGTTCAACCTGAAGAAGATTCTGAAGAGACCTCATTGTGGCCTTCCAGTACTTAAAGGGAGCTTATAAACAGGATGGAGATGGACTTTTTACACAGTGCAGCAGAGATGAACCAGGAGGAATAGCTTTAAACTGAAAGAAATTTAAGATTGGATGTTAGAAATCCTTTCCTCAGAGGGCGGTGAGGCGCTGGCACAGCTGCCCAGAGAAGCTGTGGTGCCCCATCCCTGGAGGCGCTCAAGGCCAGGTTGGATGGGGCCCTGGGCAGCCTAAGCTGGTAGGGGCAGCCCTGCCCACGGCAGGGGTTGGGGTGGGTGGGCTTTGAGCTCCCTTCCAGCCCAACCCATTCTGCAATCTTATGACTTGATGATCTTGAAGGTCTTTTCCCACCTAAACAATGTCACAGTCCTATGCTATGACCCTATCTTTCCAGCTGCGTGGCACAAAGCTGACGGCTCAGGTAGACACGTTGCGCTGCATGCTGCTTCCAACAGACCAGGCCCCGTCCCTGTCAGGCAGTGTTTCAGCCCACACGGCACACGCTGAGTGAGTAACTTTTACCAGCAAAGCCGCCCCAAGGCCGGCACCTCAACGAAACGCCAGCCTAACCGTTTCCCACTGGAACGGCATCACCACTCACGTCACACACCGAGCGGGCGGGGCGCTGCGGCGCACGCGCTCTGCGTGCCTCCGTGGGCGTCTGCGCGGCGGCGGGGAGCGCGGCGGCCAATGGGCGGGCGGGGTGTGTGCGTGTGCGTGTGCGGCGGGGGGGGGGAGGCAATGTTGTCGGGAGTCACCTGACCGCGGTCGCCGCAGTCGGGCCGCAGCCGCTGGGACGGGAGCAGCCGAGCAGGAGAGAAAAGAAGCGGGGGAAGGTTAAACGGAGAGAGGCGGCGGCGGTGCTGCCCACCGGCCGCCCGCCCGGCCCGCGGCTGAGGGGCGGCGGCTAGAAGCGCTGAGGTGAGCTGAAGGGCGCGCTCTCTGTCGGGCGGCCGTCCCCCCTCCCCCCCCCCCCTCCAGCGGGGCGCTGCGTCCCGCGAGGGCGGCGGGTGCCGTGTTACCTCTGCGGGGCTCGGCGGCACTGTGACTGGGGGAGGGCTGCGATCTCTTGGAGCTGGGAGGGCTCCGCTCCGCTCCGTCGGCGGGGAGGCGGCGATCCTCCCGTCAGGCTCGTTCCGCGCTGTGAAACGCTTGGCGCGCTTCGGGAGTGTAGCGATCAGAAAAGAATTGTCGTCTGCTTTTCTATCGAGTTGTGGTTGCGTTTTTCCTTTTCTACTGTGCGTAAGGACGTGGGGCCGCGCAACGCTGTGTGTCCTTTATGCTCTGAGAGTATCTGCACGGTGTGCTCCTCAGGAGGGCTTCCTTGGAGACCTTTCTTATTGAAACAGCGTTTGGATATCTTCAGGTGTTCTTCTGGAGCGTGTTTTCCAGTTCGTTTCAACGCAGAAGGAACTGACTTCTGTAGGCTGTCTCCGTCTGGTGAAGCGAATGGAAGTGGGATGCTGGGGAAGTCTGCGTCGCTGGCATGCTAACCTAAGTGCCAGGGTGGACACTTACGTTACATCTGCTTTGTTCTTGAGTGTTTTGTACTCGAAAGTGTCCCAAGCAAAGGTTTTAGAGTGGTCAGGGTATATATAATGTAAGAATTGCCTGGCGTGCCGTGCTCTTCACCTGATGGCTTTGATCAAGTGGCAGTGTTGCTGGGCAGAGACCGCACGTATCTTCAGAAATAAAACAGAGACGTCTTTGTATTGAGTTGTAATACGAGTCCCAAACCAAATATCTCTCCCCAATGCTTTGCACTCAGGAGTCCTTGTTCTGACGCTCTCGCATTTGATCAAGTAAGAAGAGGTGCTAAGGCAACTTCCTCATTGGTTTCCTTTTAATTGTAAACCTGGCTTTCTCCCAGTGCTGAGCAAACTGGCGCGAGGTGTTGGCGCAGGAGGGACACTGGAAGGATTCACCTTTCTGTGAGTGCTGGTGTTGTTGTCGTCCCTTAGGATTCTACTGCTGAAAGTTTCATGGGGGGGGGGGCTTTAGAGGCTGAAAAGACCTTTGTGGCATTTATAGCGCAGCTCTTGTTTATATACAGTCCTTAGCTAAACAGTAGTAATGTGTTGGTTGATGCAAACGTGGGTAGGAACAAAACCTTAATGGTTGTTTCAGCAGCTATTTTTTGCTTGCTTCAGTTGCATGAATTCAGCCTGGTATGACCAAATTGGGGATAATTCATGAGGACCCCTGCAGCTTTCCCTGCCTCTGGTTCAAAAGTTAACCATATAGGGGTGGAGGAAGGCTTATTTTGCTGAAACAGATCATAGCCCATGCCATAGGAGAAACTTCATCTCCAGCAGCAAGCTGTATTTTTCAGTTAAGGCAGTTCTTGTGGTGGAGAGGTTTGGTTTTTCAGTAATACAAGGGAGACCTTTGTGTTTTGTTTAAGTGCTCGTTAGCAGGTCAGAGTAATGCTCAACTGACTTGTCAGCTAGTGAAGCTTTAAAAAGAAGGGGGGGAGCGTGCTAGGGAGAGCAAACTGGCTTTAGAAACGTTAGTGAAATGCAAATAAATAGAGTTTAATCATTAGGTGTGTGTTGAAGAATACTAGTGGCGTAGGGCCAGCCAAAATGCCTTTAAACTGCTTGCATGATAACAAATATTCAGGTGGACTGTGGAATCATGATGGACTTCTGTTTGCAAGTGACTTTAATTGTCAAGATAGTGTCTGCAGGTGTTTGGATTCCAGTCTTGGTCTGCTATCTAGTGCGTTAATAGGAAAGTAAACAGCATTTGCTATTGCTGCTGCTGTGTGAAGTCTGGCATTCTGCATCTTTTCGCCTAGTGTAAACTTGACTGGAGTTAGCAATATTTGTCCATGCTTTCTTCATAGATGTTCATATGCTGTTTTCATAGAAGTGTTTCTGAACTTTTGTTTCGGTTTCATATGCTGTAAAGAAAAGCTGTGGAAGCAAATGAGCTAAAAAGTGTATGCCACAAATAACATTATGAAGACTGTTTTCCAAAAGAATTTTCTTTGACTGTTTGCTCCTCAATTCCTGCATCCTTCACAAGCTCTTGGGCTACAAATGGTTGACTTGCTATTTGTTACAAGTATTTTTAATGTACATACTTGTGAATGGATTCTGACGGTCATTGACACAACAAATGTAGTTTGTTTAACTGTGGCAAGGAGTAAAATGTGCAGATAGAGACATGAAGGTGTTTGTTCTTTAAGCAAAGGCAAGTGTTGACAGTAGGTGCCAGCTGTGCACGCTTTGTTAGTCAGTTTTATCCCGATTAAATATTTTACTCTGACTTGGGGAAAAAAAACAAACCCATGCCTCTACTGAATCTGTGTATAGCTGCCTTCCCAGAATAATTGTTGAAGATTGGAACTGAAGGATTGTAAACGTTGGTGCAGAGCAGTCTCTGAAGTCTCTTCAATCCTTTTCATTTTTAGCACTGAAATCGCATCCCCACAAAGTGAGTATTTTCATGCTGTATAGAAAAACTTAGCTGAGTGTAATATAATGCAAAACAGCGAATAGAGGTGTCTAATTTTTTTTTTCTGGCTGGAATGTGATTATTGCATTATGTTATTGTAGGGACACTATCACAAAATTTATGGGGAGAAATTGATGTTTATACAGTATCAGTCTTCTGTGTATTTCTTCAAAATCCCAGCTGCTGGAGCCTTGTGTCTTCTAGGAATCCTAATTCTTTGTCCTTCTCTCCCTGCTCCAAGTACCAGGTATTTAAAAACAACTGAATCTTTAGGCTTAAAAGCTTGAGAATAAATCATGATTCTGAGACGTGACACTGGCCTGACTTCCCGTGATTCCTTTCAGTTCTCACTTGTGACTTGTCAGGAGTCCAAATGCTTTGGTAAGAGTGATGTTGCAGAAATACAGTCTAATCATTTTTTTAAGAGCTCACTTATGTAATTAAGCGGTATCATCCCGCTGTGTAGTTTGAATGGCCTAGACATTTAATCATGAATTTGCTAATCATCTAAAGATGAGATGTGTTTTTTTTTTACAGGAGAAAGCATTGCTTTAATGAACCGAAGCTTAGCTATTATAATCAATAGGTTTCTTGATCGCCGTGTTCAAGTATTTTTGAGCTGATGCTGGAGAGGCAGTAAACATGAATGCTAAAATGCTTGTTCATCCCTTGTCAGCATAACGTGAATCAGCAGCTATTAGCTGCTCCAGGCATTCATCTGTAACGTAACTTCATTTCCTTAAAAGGCGAGGTAGCTGGGGGCAGACACACGGGCAGAAAGCTTTAGAAAACAGCTTTTGCACTGTATTTTGAACAAACTGTCTTTTATCCAAACAGTCTTGCTTTAGTAGTAGGGAATGATAGTCATCTCTTTGTGCACCACATCTACGGATGGCAGGATTTTTTTAAATAGAATAAAATAAATGTAAATGTCTGCTGTAAGGGAACTGAGGGAAATAAGTGAGCTGCTTAAAGTTACTCAATACATCAGCATAGGAGTCAGGAGTAACACTCAGACTTTGCTTTTCAAGATTTTTTTCTTTTTCTGGTATACAATACCTTTTTTTTTCCCCCCAGCTGTTCAGGAATTTAAGGTATTCTAAGAATACAGGTAAGTTAGAAGCATGGTGGTTACTGAGCAGGTGTTTATCGTCTACTGCATGATGTTAGCCTGCTAGTGTAATGGTGGTAATGTTCACAACAGGAATTGCATCTGGGTGCTCAAGTTCAGCCAGCTGTGCTGGTGCTGACAGTAAAGGCGCCCTGCCTGAGCTCTGCTGAGGAGGAGCTGCACTCGCTGCTTTCTTGTATCCTCAGGAGCTTTACTTGTGTGCTACTGAAAGTTCATGTTATTATTGCAGAGGATTGAGATCCAGCATGCTGTTGGTGAACAGCTACTGTCTAAGTAAAGAATAAGGAACAGGCTTTTGTTTACTGGTTAGTAAATTGAGTAATGCTTGGCTTGGACAATTGACAGGAAATGTAGCTCAAGGTCTTGAGATGGAAAAACAAAACCCAAACCCTTACCTGTACACACATCAGTGGTAGAGCAGTGTAGCTGATATCTGAGTCTAGAAATAAAAGGTTAGCTTTTTTTTTTTTTACTTAGGAATCTCTGAAATGTAGTTACTGACTCTTAGGAAAAAATAAGAGACTGTTGGTCTTTAAAAGAAAGCAGTGACTTGCTAGGATGTAACTTCTGTAGCTAATTTATTTATGATAGTGATACTTCTATCTTTGTAGAACATAAGACAGAAGAACCACATGTCAGTTAGAGCTGGCTTATTACCCCCACTCGCTATTAAGTGTATTACAGTTGATGGTTGCAAAGTACAGTTTTGTGTTTTGTTTGGCAGTGAGTCTTTCACAGATGATCACCGGGCTTGGATGCTCTCTAGATTTCCTCAAATCCAGATTCCTCTGGATTCCTATTTGTGTTGAAGAGAATTAGATATGGGATTTTCTGTGTCTTTAGATTTCTCAGCACAGACCATCTGAGTAGGAAAAGGCACGACCACTGTTGATTTCCAAAGATTTGTGTGCACCGATTTCGTATTTTTAAGGACACCAAAAGCACTTGAAATCAGAATAGTCGAAACCTGTTTTGGTAAACGTGCTCAGAATTTAAAGGTGCATCCAACTGTCATTTCTGTTTCTTTACATGAATTTGCACTCTCGACTCTCTGTTCTAAGCGCTGTTTTAGTATTTTTTCAG